CCACGGTAAAACTAGAGTGACGGCAATGGTCCGTTGCACGTCAGATAGGCACAAGCTTTCCCCGTACCTCATATTTAAACGGAAGACTCTCCCGAAAGGAGTCGTTTTCCAGAGTGGTGTGATCGTGCGGGCCCACGAGAAAAATGGGTGCGCGTTGCAATCGATGTTTTACTTTATTTTTTTTTTTCGTCGTGGAAACCGAGAACGCGTTACAATCGAGGGCGCGGTAGAATCGAGTAAATACGGTACTATTCATGGCCAGTACATGGGGCACTAGAATGCAGTTGGCAGACATTGTGCTATGCTCAATTTGTGACAGTTATGTGTCGTTTTCAATATTTGATCACCTAAAAATTTACGAACGTCGTAATAATATACAAATATATTTGTGATGGTGGTTTTTCTGACAAAATTTTGGTCTTAGTAGCATTTTGTGGTTTTAGTTGCGTGATGGGTTTTTCTGACAAAATTTTGGTCTTAGTAGCATTTTGTGGTTTTAGTTGCAGGAAGGAAAAAAAAAAGATTCCTCACATTAAATTCAAGAGCTTTTGTTTGCAGACGGCTTCAATCATGATGTTAATTCAGATTTTGACGACAATGTGGAAAGATTTAGCTGAAGTGCAAAAGGGATTTTTTGGCTTCCTTGGTATGCAGTGTTAATACTCCCCAATAGGTATAAAATATTTTCTTTGATTTTGAAGTTCTCATCGTTTGAGCATCAGCAGTCCAGCCCTACTGCAGTGGGCATTATCCCGATAAGTCCACACAGTTTCACTGAGTTTGTGTACTCTGTGTCCTGTATGCAGCCTAAATCACAGAAATCGCTGTTCAGGTAACTAATGCACTTTTACATGCACCACACACAAATGGCAGATCTGCTGCTAGTACGTTGCGAATGGCTCTCTCTCCCCATGGCATCACACGGCCATGATACGTCAAAGAGAACCCACCCCCTCAATATCGAAATCGAAAGTGTTTTTTTTTTAAGGTAGAGACATTAAAGAATATATGCGATGTATCCCCAGACACCACAATACTCTTTTAAGGACTCTCGACACCAGTGTTCTTATATAGAGCAACAATTTGAAAATAGTTGAAATTCGTGGCAGTACTCCTTGAACCTCGCATCTTCCGGAAAAGGAATGTTTGGTCATAATAACATCTTGAAAAACACAATTGAAACAAGCCCAATGTTTGGCAAAGAAAGAGCTTTTTGCTGAATGCCGCAGTTTGAGCCAGAATTCGATGAGCGATGATTGGAAGAAATGTGTGTGAACTGGATGGACATGAAAGCTGTTAGGCTGCTGTTTTTTTGTGTTGTGGAACAGAGCCAGTGAACACTAGAATGTGCTACAAGAAATGAAAAAAAAAAGTTGAAATGGAAAGGCCAGCATGGGTTCGTCGATGCAAAAAACAAATGGGAAGCATCAATCTGAATGTCTTCCTCGCTGGTCAGTATCGCATCAAAATTGGGAGGATTGCCAAAAGGCAGGTTGCACGAATAGCTATGTGCTTTGCCTGCTCGACTTTTGGAGGCTCTAGCGGAAAGTCTGATGAAAGGTTCACCGGAAAGAAAATGTGGAAGGCTATCTACAGTTGCAAGTGAACTTACCTTGATAAAGCTATTGTGCAAATCCCAGGCCCTAAAATATGTTCTGACCAAGAAGGCCATTTGCCAGGTCTGCAAGTGATTGCAAACTCTTCCAGAGGCTAGTTGTCAGAATGCAAGACGAAGTCTCGGGTTCAGTGTTCTAAATGCAATGTTTTTATTTCGTGTCTAAAGGTATGCGAGAACTGCTTTCGAGCTTTTCACATCGAATAAGGTGTTCTTGCTGGTTGTAAATGTCGCAAAAAGCTATGCAAAGTATAATTGATTTGACGAAAAGGAATAAGATTATCGAAGATGAAGTTTGATTTATGTGAAGTTTTTTTTTCTTTTTCTCTTATCAAAGCAAACCATTGTGCTCTCTGAGACGATGAACCTTTTGAAAAGAACCAAAGCCACTTTCTTTCAAGAATGAAAGCAAAATGAGGGTGTGTGCACACACAAGTGCAACAAATAACTCCCAGTGTCCATAGTGACAACTAGTAACTGGACGAAGTTCTTGTGAAAACCATTGTAATTATCATCTCCATGATATTTTTCTATGCTTTTAACTGGAAAAGAACATCTTAAGATTTTGTTATACCCCTATGAAAAACTGGATGGAAAGGGTATATGTGACTGGACTGCATGATTTTTCTCTATTGGTGACATGGAAAATAATTATATAAGAGCCCCATGTCTTGGCCTTTCGAAGCAGGTAGGCCAAGGGTGTACCTCAAGGCTAACAGGGCTTCGGTATTGAAATACACTGGCATTGTATATAATTTGCTGTGCAGAATTATGTTATTATCTAAAAATAAGTAATTTCATTTCAGTACTGATGCTTTAGCATAGTGGATGTAAGTTTGTCTCGATGTAGTTTTGTCAAAAAAAGTTTTTAGGTTTGTGGAGGACTTTTTTGTACCGTCTGATCTGAGCTCATTTCCACGCTCATCTTGTCATTAATGCTTTACTGCAGTGCACTTGGGAATATTGCGATGAAGTAAGCAGTGGCATAATTGCTTGTGAGCATCTGGTCGATGTCTGCTCTCATGTCTGTTAATCTTGTCATTGTGTTTACACTATAGCAGCTTTTTCTATTTGCACAATAACAAGAACATCTTGTTTTTGTGTTTACAGTATAGAAGCTTTTTCTATTTGCACAATAACAAGAACATGTACCAAAAAGTTGCAGACTTGCTGTTCCAAGTAATGCCTACCTCTATTATGTCTGCTTCAAAGTTGCTTGAAAAGAAAAATTTTTTTTAGCTCCTATCCCGCTACAAACTGGCTGCATGACCACTGGGATGGCACAAAAATGTGGTTTCTATTGCTTTCTTTTTACAAAAGTTGTCTTCTCTTTGTGGACTGACTCAAATGATCAGAGATAGTCATGAGAAAAATTCAAGTTTGAAAAAAACATGTAACATGAAACTCCGTTTTATCAATGTGTTGAGGGCGCTGTGTATGAGGGCTTTGTGTTAATTAAAGATTCTGGGAACACAAGAATAGTGTTATCAAAACTCAGCGTGGTCTTCTTGTGCTGCCTTGTCGCAAATATGCCTGTCAGCCTCTCTTTCACGAAGGTGACGTAATCTGCGCAAGAATGTTACAAAGATAATACAAGTAAAAATCTTTGATAGGTTAGGTGATCAGTGTAGCTCTGCACTAGTCCTGCAATCCAATAAACAATAAAGAACGGCAATTTCTGCGATTATGGTTTGAAAGCTGATGGCAGAGCATTAATCTTATGCAGGGGTCAAGTGCCTCGCCATGTGCGCCAATCCACTTCTGCTGTGCCATCGTGCTCCAAAACACATTGTGTGATACAGTTGAACCCCACTACAATGAACGCCGCTTCAACGAAATTCCCGCTACAACGAAAAATTCATGATTCTCCGTCAGTATTCCATAGGAGTCAATGCATAAATATTGTCGCGACAACGCCGTCCCGCTTCAACGACATTCCACGACACGATTCCAGGCTCGGATATTTATTTTTATACAGTAAACCTAATATTCAACATTTTGATCCATTTTCAGAACCTAAAAATACGTCGACGAAGTCTAAAACATGCGTTGGCATCACCAAAAACCACCGCTGTTCAGCAAACATAGGTGCTGCCACTGCTCGATAGCGATGGCAATGAGACTGCCTTGCTTTTGTCACTGGCGAAAGCAGGGCAGTCTCATTGCCATCGCTGTCGAGCAATGGCGGTGCCTGTGCTTGCTAAACAGCGGCAGTTTTGGTGGTGCAAACGCGTGCTTTACACTTCGTCGACGTATTTTCAGGCTCTGAAAATGCATCAAAATGTTGAACATTTGGTTTACTGTATAGCCGCAGACTATACGAAGCTGAAGCTCAGTTGCTTAGTTCATGGTTTCCTTCGTGCAGCTTCTGGGTGCATCTGCAGAACGATGCCTTTTCCGATTCCAATGCTTGTCATTTTGTTCGTGCTTGGCCAGAGTGGTAACTAATCAGAGCGGCTGTTCGTCCGCATTACTAACAAAATCAGCTAGCCGCGAGTGATATATGATAAGAATGGCATAAAATAAGGCAAAAGTCACTGCTCCACAATAGCCTGCTGCCATCTAGGCATTTTGACGGCGGACAGCTGTTGGTGTTAACGTGCTAATGCAACTGTTTGCTTCGCTCACGAAAGCGGTTGTAGTCATTGTTTCAGCGTGCTTTTCTCCATGGCCTTGCTATGCATGGGTGAGAATCGCGTCGTGACGCTGCTGGGATAGAATAAAAAGCAACGTACACTTTTTTAATTATTGGAATAAACGTTCCTTTTTTTGCTAGTTCAGATTGGCTATATTTTTTTATTTCCCTAAAACGAAATTTTCACTTTAGCGAAATTTTTTTCGCACCCCTTCAGTTTCGTTGTAGTGGGGTTCGACTGTAGCCGCTCCCAAGCCATCTCTTGTGCCTTCATTTGCCACTGTCATCTGTGCCGTTGCGCACCCAAGCGAGCTCATTAGCTGGTGCTCTCTCCATGATGTTTCTGACAGCACGAAAAAAAATTGCTGCAAGGGTGAAACAATGAATGCAATAAGAAGAAACTGTAATTCTATGCGTATTAGGGCCTGCAGTTTACTCACTCATCAGTCGAAAAATTCCTGCAAGGGCGAAGCAAGGAATGTGATAGCAAGAAATTGTAATGCTATGCGTAGTAAGGCCAGCAGCTCACTCACTCACGAGTCTACTCACTCGTACTAGATTGAGCCATGAGTCGGGTTTAAAGCTAGTCTGGGTGACTAATAGTTACTCAAGTGAGTTCAAGTCTAAGTGAGGGATGTTTTTCTAAAACATGTATGGGATGGTAATGTCTTGCTGCTTAACGCGAGCACGTCCTTGTGAGCATGGTGTTGCAAGGGAATAATTACCTCTATGGGTGTTGCTGCTCGACAGGTAATGAACAAGGGCCAAGCTACATACAAGGATGCTGAGACATTGAAACTCACCGTCAAGAAGAAATGTGCTACCACCTCATCTGTGTCTTCAGCGGCTGGTGGCGCCCCTGGACGATCCCGTGCTGCAGCGGTAGCAGCTGCTGCTGCCATTGGTGCGGGCATCCACCGCCGTACGGACCTTATGCACTCTGCAGTCGAGGCTGTGCGTGCCCTTGGGGAGAACGGTGGCTCAACTTTAGGCGCCATTGTCAAGTTTGTGCGACAAGCATTAAGGTTGGACCCAGGAGTGCGGTTGCGGCTTGCTGTGAAGCGTGCTGTCACAGCAGGCCGGTTGGTGCGCATGGGTCGTCTTTATAGACTTCCAGGAAGTGACAGTGACGAGTCTGAAACTGACTCTGATGACGAACCGGATGCCAGTGACCGTCTTGGAGTGGGCAAGAATGGGGACATCACAGGCAGGATGGGTCAGAAGGTAGGTTTTCTGAATTCTTGCATCTCTTAAGAAAATGGAACAATTCGCATATAGGGTTCAGGGGCGCAATGAAAGAATCAGGCAGAAAGACAGCGCTTAAGTGGGTGTCAAAGATGGGGTGCCCTGTCTCATTTGTTTCTGCTTTCATGTGTGTCCTGTAGATAACTGCGAAAGTAAGGCGGAAACGTTGTTTCATATGTTTGTATGCCTATCTTCCAGCCCTCCTGAGCTTTTTGTAATGCTTACAAATTTATGCCTACTTCGCTATTTGACAGTGCTGAGAATAGTTAAAAAAATTAAGTATATTTGCAAAAAAACATTTGAAAGGTCTTGCAAGATTATATCTCCTTCAGATGCAAATTGGGAAGGTTTGTCTGAAAATATGTCACACTTGCATGTAATTGTAAGGCACTGTAGCTGTACACAGCTAAAAAGTGTGCGTCATTTCCTCCTTAAAGGCAAATGCATACAAGCCTACCCTAATCGGCGTGCAATCTAGACTGAAATCACTCAGCAGTGTACTACAAAGGCGAGTTGCCTTTGCAGTTCATTGCAGAGTTCATGAGCAGTACTATTTCTTTAGTCGCAGAGGTGATTGGCTGGCACGCCAATATGGGGGGGGGGGGGGGGGGGGGGCTCTTCAGGCTTTTTTAAATTTAATATTTTAATTAACTTTAATTACTGTAGTTTGCACCAAACAACATATTGCCTCAGTGCCTTTATAGATTAATTTTTATTTGACCACAGATTCATACTTGAAGAAAAAAAAAGAAAGGTTCTAATGTTGTTTTGTGCAAGTTTCAGTTATTGTAATTAGTATATAATTATATGTCTATGATTATGCCAAGTGATGTCTTATTTCTGAATGAATAGAACAGAAATCTTATTCTCAAAATGCATGCTCATTTTTTTGCTTGTATTAATTTTGCGCTTACCGAAATTCCACTTTCCTAGTCACTTCAGGAATGTGGCATATCCAACAGCCAATTGGACGTTGTAGTGCTTTCACTGAAATATTGGCAGCAGGCATAAGCAAGATGTTGCAGTTGAATAAAGAGACATTTTTAACGTGATAGCATTAAAGAGCTCGTTTCGCAAAAATTCTGGCATTGGTGTCGTCGGTTGTGAGTGAAAAATCAACTTTGTGTGACCAAAAAAAATTTAGAAGGATGAAAATAAAATAAATTAAAAAAATTTCGACTGAGCGGGGATTGAACCTGGGTCGTTTGCGTGGCAAGTGGTGGTTCTACCGCACAGCCACACGTCTGCTTGTAAATACAGTGAAAATACCTTCTGCTGCTTCAAAATGCAGTGAAAGTAACCTTCATGCTTTACCGATACACGTGTCCTGTATACATACTTCACAATACACCACGAAAAATTACCCCGCTGCGGTGGTCAAGTGGCTAAGGTACTCGGCTGCTGACCCGCAGGTCGCGGGTTCGATTCCCGGCTGCGGCGGCAGCATTTTCGATGGAGGCCAAAATGCTGTAGGCCTGTGTGCTCAGATTTGGGTGCATGTTAAAGAATTACCGGGGGTCTACATTTCTGGAGCCCTCCACTATGACGTCTCTCATAATCATATCGTGGTTTTGGGACGTTATACCCAACATATCAATGTTGTGCCCTGGCATATTGAGCTCAGGGGTGCACGCTTTTGCCTCTCTAATCACTACCTCTTCACTAACATTCTCATGCTCGCTGCGGCTTCACTTGACCAGCAAACGGGGTTGTTTTATGCTCTTTCTATTTCCATTCATCATCTTCACAATACATCATTTCTTTGCGTTTCAAGCTTCCTTGGTATTCCCAAAACCAAGCTGACACGTCACAGCTAGAAAAGCACGACATTGAATGCGTTAATTAACATGTGCAGAGGACACTCAATTGATCCAATGTATTGCTCTTGTTCTAGTGGGCAGAACTGGCAAAAATGGTCTGCCTCGGTGTATCAGTGGCTAGGGTGCCTGACCCGAAGGTTACGGGTTCAATCCTGGCCACAGCGATTGCATTTCAATGGGGGCGAAATTGTAGAGGCCAATGTAATGTGGGATGTCGGTAGAAATTGCTGGTAGAAATTCGCATGCTGGATATATTTTTAAACATAATCATGGGCTTCTTTATTTATATACTTGAACCTCATCATAACAAACTTGTATCTTATGTAAAAATAAGTTCGTTATATCTGAGAATTTATTATAAAGTATTATTCTTAGCACTGAATCTATTGTGAAACTGTTTCATTTACTTTGTTACAACTGATATTTCGTTATATCTGGATTCAATATATCGAGGTTTGAGTGTATCTTTAATTTTTAAATGCTGGCCCTATGCCCATGTCTTTGGAAAAGCTTGCATTTCTGCTGCCTAGTGCATAAGAGAGTCATCATCATCATCAGCCTGACTATGTCCACTGCAGGACAAAGGCCTCTCCCATGTTTCGACAGTTAACCCGGTCCTGTGCTTGCTGCTGCCTATTTATACCCGCAAACTTCTTAATCTCATCTGCCCACCTAACCTTCTGTCTCCCCCTAACCCGCTTCCCTTCTTTGGGAATCCAGTTAGTTACCCTTAATGACCAGCGGTTATCCTGTCTACGCGCTACATGCATAAGAGAGTAGTAATCTTTAACTGCTATCATTAATTCAGTCAACTTGTATTAATTATACTGTCATGGGACCAAAGAAATCGGTCAATTATCAAGTGGGCCAAGTTAAACAAGCAGCGGCAAAAAATCAAAATACATGACTGATTCATTTATTTGCACTTTTTATGGGTTCAACGTAGGAAGCAAATATAAAAATAACATTATAGCTTTAACCAAACAGAAATGCATTGTGTATACGATATTCTAGTCACTGAGAAAGATGAAATCGGCTAACCATGCCATTGATTCATTGATATGTGGGGTTTAACATCCCAAAACCACTATATGATTATGAGAGACGCCGTAGTGGAGGGATCCGGAAATTTCGACCACCTGGGGTTTTTTAACGTGCACCCAAATCTGAGCACACGGGCCTACAACATTTTCGCCTCCATCGGAAATGCAGCCGCCGCAGCCGGGATTTGAACCCGTGACCTGCGGGTCAGCAGCCGAGTACCTTAGCCACTCGACTACCACGGCGGGGCAGCTAACCCTGCCATTCACACAACGGCAATTGACTGACTGACCATGATCCTAATTGAAGACAGTGTTGCCCTGTATAAAAGACCCCAACATGTCTCTTTATGTATGAACAAAAACGTATTTGTATTCTACATTTATTGAAGGTCAACTATCACAGTTGAGATGGGGTCCAATGCTTTGATTAGCCCCTTCATTAGTTCATACAAAGATGCACAAAAATTATTTGGAAAAGCTAAACCACATAACTTTTGCCTGCACCTTAACATGCAAAACTACATGTTTCTTCAATGCTGCTTCAAAAATTAGACTGAAAGGGGAGCATAGTAGTCGTGCTGTGCTTGTTTTGTAGAATGTGTATAACTTGCTCTGTCACCATTCATGGTCACCATATTGGGGTGGCTGGCTTGGCTGGGTCTGATAAAAGCCGTAAAATGCCGAGCAAGCACCCCCCTTCCTTTTTCAGAAGATGTGAAATAAGCGCGAATGACTGGTCCACGACTGAGCAAGCGCCCCCTTTCAAATCTGGTCAGATTATCCTTCACCCTAGGTGGAGGTGCTTGCTTGGCATTTTATGGTAGTGATCTCTCTTTTGGTTCTGTACCAAATCGTACTGACTGAGCAGAAAAGAAAAGTTTGTGTTACATGCATTTAAAGTATTTCTCGGGCAGCCGAAAAATAGGCGTTTTCAGTGGAAGATTTGGGTTCAATTCATTATCCCAAGCCTGGTCTAAAAAGCCGCTACTGTTAGAAATCGTCTACTGCAGTCATTATTGGCGGCAGGTATCTATGGTGACCAAAAGTTTAAATTAATCTGTGAAGCCTCATTTCAAGATTGACAATGGAAGCTATGTTAACAGGTATGCATTCTCAAGGGGATGATTATTTTGGTTGCACTCTTTTTTATTTTATTTTTATTTTATTTTTATTTATGACATACTGCAGGCCCCACAAGGGGCCCAAGCAGGAGGGGCATAATCACTCAAGTATAAACAAACCGACAATACAAGGTAAAATACAGCATCTTCTAAAAAGAAAAAGAAACATACTGTCTCAATTTTCTATATGTTCAATCCCATCAATACTACAGACAACAGATATGGGCAGATCATTCCAGTCAGATATGGTGCATGGATAGAAGGAAAATTTGAAGACGTTTGTTCTGGCGCTGTAGGGGGTCAGGGATGCAGCGTGTCGATGTCGTGTACGCCGAGAAGTCAATGGCTGAATAAACTGATCAGGGCTAATGCCGAGTTTGTTGCTCTTAAGCTGGTAAAGAAATTGAAGCCTTTCTATTTTACGTCGTGCCTGCAACGTTTAGATCCCGTGCTCTTTCATGAGAGTAGTAGGCGAGTCTGATAAACGATATTTTGAGTAGATAAAGCGAACCGCTTTGCGCTGTATCATTTCAAGAGCCTGAATATTTTTTTGCTTGTGCGGGTCCCAAACTGAGCATGCGTATTCGAGTTTCGGTCTAATAATTGATGTGTATGCAAGAAGTTTAACACTTGGAGGAGCTAATTTAAGTTTGTGTCTGAGAAGGCAGAGCTTGTGAAAAGAGGACGCACAGACGTTGGAAACGTGCCGATTCCAACTTGGTTGTTTGTAATGGTGACACCAAGGTACTTGTAACAACTGACTTCACAAAGCGGTCGTTCAGGAAGCTCATAGGAAAACGACAAGCTGTTCTTCTTTTTAGTAATTTTCATGAAGACCGATTTTTCGGCATTTAACTTCATATTCCACTTTGTGCACCATGCCTGTATGCTAAGAAGGTTAGAATTTAATTGAATTTGATCCTCGTGGCAAGTTATTTCGTTAAAAAGAATACAATCATCCGCAAATAGTCTAATTTGTACTGGGCTGGTAATCA